ATAAGGAGACCTTTTCTCGTGTTTTGTCTTTAACTTCGTGTATTCTCTCTAAAAGGATAAGTGAACAAGTAATGAAGTGGGAAATAAAAACGGTCTTCTAGGAAACCACGACACTTTCTTCAGTTATGCCCACTTTTAGAGAGAAAGTTTACCAATTGTCCAGATTGGGTTGCAACAAGATAATGTGTTCATGTGATCGCTTTTATGTTGGAGAGACTTGTCGTCCGATTCGACCAAGGCTGGCTGAGCACACGCCAGAAACAGGACACGAGATGGAATGGTCTCAAACTTGTCATTTTACTGATTATGACTTATTCGCGGCTAAACGTGAAATTAGATAAGCCATCGAAATAAACCGAATAGGAAATATATTGAATGTAAGGAATCCTGGTAAGAAGATAAGTAGAAATTACTTGTGCCTAATTAATAGGCGGAAGGATAAAGAGGGAGTTGAGCCGCCTGCAAAAAGGAGACGACGCAACTAGTCTTTTCTTGTCTTGATTTTAATCATATTAACTTTCTGTACTATTAACTCACTTTTTCTCTCGTATTAAGACCAAAAGCAACAAAAGGCTTATTAACCTAACCAGACGTGTGTCAGACCTTGCGCAATCGGAGTGATGGTTATAACATGTTTGTAGAAAGGGGGAGATAGGGGTCATCAAACCTTGATTGCCAAAATAGACGTTCCTTTTTGCTGTCCTTATCACTTTTAGCTATCAATTCGGGTTTCGGGCATAAGCAAATACAAACAGACACACACAAACTTCGAGGTTGACATATGACGGTAACTAACCAAATCACTTAATACCTGATCGAAGAGACCAGATATAGAGTATATAAACCGCTTTTTTGGGAATTGCCAGTGAGTTTTATTTATTCATTAGCTTGAATTAGCTTGTGACGATGATGTTCGTCATATGACGAACGAAGGCCTTGCACCTTTTCATTGGAATCGAAGGAGATTGCTTCGGAAACAGAGTCACTATGAATCTTCCAGTAAAGCCAATCGACAGCTGGTCGTCGTCTTCTGGTGTAATCGAACTACGAATCTCCTAACTAAATTTTATTCCCAATTACACATTTGTTGAATCGAAACAGTCGATCTTGGTCTATATAGCATTTTTTTATATTAGCTGTCTTCATTCATTTGCTGAGTGTAAAAATATCCTTAATTAGCTCCAGCTTCAAAATAAACCACATTTTTGCATTCCACAGCCCAGCTCTCTTTCTTCAAACAGTGCATCAGTTTGAATGTGAGGACCTGGAGAGCGTGGCTTCACATGACTTCAGTCTCCTTTTGTTGCATAGACCTATTTTTACCTCTTCTGCTGTTTGCATTCAGCAACTTTTATACTTCGAATAACTTAGCTAGTCATGTGTCCTCTACTTTTGTCATTATTTGCTGTTTCGACAGTGGATTGCTCAACAATTGCATTCCATCTGTTTTGTTCCAAATCCTTTCGGCGGGATCATTTAGAAGCGATGCTTTCTACATCACTCATTACGGATGATTCTGACGGCTACTCCGTCAAGACAATTTCTTATTTAGCTGGTTATTTGTCCTCTGCTGAAAGCACATAAAGTTGACTACTACCTGATTGCTTTTGGGAGTGATTTTAGTACCTGGCCCTTTTAGTGCGCCAAGTTTGAATAGCTCTTCTTTTTCTATACGTTTGCCGAATTCGTCGTTACTTCTCTAGCCCTGTTTGCATCGCTATCAGCCTGAAACGGATGTAGAAACGATAAGCAGACAACTCGTTGTTTAAGTGTTCTGCGCTCATCGTAGATACAACACTTTGGCTGTTTAGATGTTTTTTTCTGCTTTCTCTTTTCACATAAACTCTGCAAGTTCTCCATTCCCATATTTATCTGCTCGCCTCTTTTTTCAGACTCTCTTTGCTCGAGGAGGGGCTCAAATTCATATTAACTTCCGAGCAGCAATTGCCCGTAACTCATGGCCGTGGTCGCGCGAGCATCCCCATTCCAGCCTATACTTCTTCTTCTCTTCTTCTTCCTGGCGCCAGCCCGACCAACACATCTCGCGCCATCGCCACTTTAGCCGCCACTCCATCCCCGTCGCTGCCATCTTCCACATCGCCATCTTCAGTTATTGCAACTGAGACTGTCCGACGGGCCAACCAGCCTCAACAACCCAAGCCTTCGTCAGCCACGAAAATTGCTGAACTCTTCGGCCAATCGGACTCATTCGGTTCAGTGAACCAGACCAGACTGAAGCGCTGCTTCTCCACCCCTCTGGCCCCTCGGACTCTCGCCTCCTCAGTTGCTTCCTCGTCAAAAGATAATGCTTCTACGGTGGCAGAAGAGACGGCAGCGCCAGTTCTGTCCAAG